TGTGCTGGGCACAGGGCATTGATGCTTCTGTGTGCTGGGCACAGGGCTGCTGGTTCTTGTGCTGGGCACAGGGGGACTGCTGGTTCTTGTGCTGGGCACAGGGGGACTGCTGGTTCTTGTGCTGGGCACAGGGCACTGCTGGTTCTTGTGCTGGGCACAGGGGGACTGATGGTTCATGTGCTGGGCACAGGGGGACTGATGGTTCATGTGCTGGGCACAGGGCACTGCTGGTTTCTGTGTGCTGGGCACAGGGCACTGCTGGTTCATGTGCTGGGCACAGGGCTGCTGGTTCTTGTGCTGGGCACAGGGGAGTGCTGGTTCTTGTGCTGGGCACAGGGCATTGATGCCTCTGTGTGCTGGGCAGAGAGGGTTTTGGTGGCTTGTGTGTGCTGGGCAGAGCACACTGATGGTTTCTGTGTGCTGGGCAGAGCACACTCTGTGATTTCTGTGTGCTGGGCAGAGCACACTGATGGTTTCTGTGTGCTGGGCAGAGCACACTGATGGTTTCTGTGTGCTGGGCACCGCAGGGGGAGGCAGTGATGCAGGATGGGCAGGGGGCAGCAGCCAGCACTCACCTGTGGGTCCGGAGCAGCCCTGATGTGTGGCAATGGGTGGATGTTTGGTCCCCAGACACTGCAGAGAGGCTCAGAAGTGCCCAGGTGGGGATGGCCAGGCCAGGCTGTCTGCACGTGGCCGGGAGGCTGGAGGTGGCTGCTTGGCAGGAGGATTCTGAGTGTGGCGATGCTCAGGGGAGGAGACACTTGCCTTCACAGAAGTTTTTCTAAAAGGTTGGAAGCTGTGCTGGTGGCTGCTCCTCTGCAGGCAGCTGGCTGTGCAGACCGTGCAGGATGCCCCATTGTCACCACCTGCACCCCTGGCACTGTGCAGGGCCCTGGCTGGCATGGGAGGGATGTGTGGTACCTGCCGAAGGCAGGGAAAGGGGCCGCTCTGATCCACGCCACCCTCATCAGTTTCTTCTAATTCTTCGGCTTTCCTGTACATCACAGGCATCATTTAACTTTGCTTGTTTGTCTCTCTTTGAATTATTGTTTGGTTTTAAGCAAAACAATCAAAGGTTTGTCATGTTTCCTGCTTTGAACAGAATAACAAAGCTGAAAAAGCAGCTGAAATATTTATGGCTCACTCTGTTTTGTGTTCAGTGTGCTGGTGTAAACGCAAAATGCTGCTGCTGAAGGCAGTGGAGCTGCTTCAGATTCATCCTGGAGCTGCAGAGAGCTGAGCCTGGCTCTCTGCAGGGCTGCTGGAGAGGGCTGGTGCCGGGGGCCTGGTCCTGCTGTGGTTGTATTGGCAGAACGCTCACTGAGCCCTGGTGTTTGACTTCCACCGAGGCAGAACCAGCTCCGAGAGCTCGTGCACCGGTGTTGGCCCACCCCAGGGACACTGCTGTCGGCATGCTGTGGCATTCTTGTCTTCCTGGAGCAGTGTCTTCTGGAGAGGATTCTGGAGGGCAGCTCTGGCTGCTGCCTTGCTGTGGGCACCGGAGCAGTGGAGCAGCCTGTCAGCCTGTGATTCACTGCCACCAGTGACAAAATCCACCACACGCTGCCATTATCCAGAAGTGCATGCTGGCAGTGGGAGGTCTCAGGTGCCAGGGAGGATGGAAGGAGCATCAGGAGCGTCATAACTCAGCTGATAAAGTTACCAGGCAGCTGCATGCAGAAGGCAGTGCTGCCTGTGCTTCTCTGTGATACAGCTCCTGGGCTGGGATCTCATGGAGTGTGCCCCATTTCCCATCACTTGTGCAGGTGAGATGCACTGTGAAGAGCTGCTAGCTTGCCTGGAGAAAGAAGTTTGTGTGTTGCAGTGAGTGGGCAGAGTGTCAGTGGAGCAGAGCCCCGGGAGCTGCCGAGGGCAGCAGGCAGCTCGCCACTCCTGCCACGGCACGGCGGCTCTCGCGAGAGACAAACCCCTCCTGGCAGGGTCTGCGCCCTCTCTGGAGGTGCTTCTGGGCAAAAGGGCAGGATCAGGCTGTGGGGTGGAGAAATCCCAACGGGAAGCTGTTTGGAAGTTTGCTTTAGGGCGGGAGTGTCGATGCTTTTTGGCAGAACCCCAGCGTTATGCTTCCAGCTGTTGCAGGCGAAGCTATCTTGCTGCTGGTGTGGGTTCTGTTGGCTTCTAAAAATCCCGGTGACGCTGGCAGTGAGGTGGTTCACTGGTGCTGGAGCAGCAGCCCTGTCCTGGCATGGGGGTGGCACAGCAGCTGTGCCCCTGGAGGACGTGGCAGCCCGAGCCGTGCGTGTCCGTGCCGCTGTGGCTGTGCAGGGTGCTGGTGGCACACCCCGGTGCTGAGCACTCAATAAACAGTCCCTGCCCAGAGCTTACAGAGGCAGAGCTCTCCCTGCAGTGCTCCCACTTTGTCTGGGCTGGTTTGGGTCGCTTCCAGTGATGAAGCCACCGTGTGTCCCCGGGGAGGCTTTATGAGGTGTCAGCATCGGGGAGATATCATTGCTGCTCCACCTAGGAGTGACTTTTCCTGATGGGAAGGCAAAGCATGGCTTGATAACAGATAAAATACGAGGTAAATGTGTCTCTGGCAGTGTCACTTGGCATATGGTGGTTGTGGCTGAGGGTAAGCTATTGCCTCTGCAGACACGTGCTGCCCCAGCAGCGGTGGGTTTGTGATGTAGCTGCTCTTTAACGTGAGCCTCATTTATTTTAACAGTCAGGAGCCATGAAATAAAAGTCCCCAAGGATGGCTTGTTTGTGGAGCTTCAGGAAATGTTTCTTCTAGTGCAGTGGCAGGTCTCGGGGCTGAGAATAATTGGGTTTGTTGGTGCTTCTCATCTTTCCCTGGTGATCCGGAAAGGATTAAAGACTGGTGTCTGAGGGGCTGCAACCCCGCTCCAAGGATGCAAAATAAGTTTGAGACCAGCCTTATAAAACTTTTCCCTTTGGGTGGGGCTGGGCTTGGCTGTTGGCTCTGTTTGTTCCAGGGTAGGGCTGCCAGGAGAGCGTGGGGAGGCAGAGGGGGATATCCTGGGGTGCCCTGCCCTGCTGGGAATCGGGGTCCCATGCAGGGATGCCTGCCCACAGCCTCTCAGCATCCCTGTGGCTGCAGCACGATGGCAAGAAGCGTTTGTGAGCAGCTCTGGTGATTGTGGCTGACACCAGGAGCCTTGGCCCCCGTTAGTGTTTGGACTTGTTTTTGCAGCAGGGAGAGTGGGACATGTTGGAGATGCAAGGGCAGTGCTGCTCTGAGGCTTTGCTGCTGCTGAGAGCTCTTTTTTATCTTCCTTGAGCTGGAGGAGAAGTCAGCTTTGAAACCAAAAGGCCTTGTTGTCAGGTTTTGCATGTATATTGCCGGGAGTTGTACCAGGAGATTAAAAATCAAAATTAATAGGAGCCATTAGGCGGCTTCCTTGATAAAAATGCGTGTGGCATTGGGGTGGTGTGGAAATTGGTCTGAATGCTGAGCCTTTTAGGATCCAGGGGACATGACTTGCATGTGGAGCAGCCACCCTTGGGTAGCACTTACATGCCTGCATTTTGACCTGTTGGTTTAAAGAGTAAACAGCACGTGTGTGATGGCTGTGTCTGTGTTCCAGAGGCAGTTCTACACCCCAGATTTGCACTGCTTAGGGGGATGGTGTTCCTTTGCTGCTCCAGGATGGGGAACACGGGGGACAGCAGCTCGCTCTGTCCCCAGGGCTCCCCGGGGCCACCACGGTGGCAGGACCTGGCATGGCAGAGGCCAAGAGGTGTGACCTGGGAGCAGAAAGCCCCTTTGGGAGGGTGCTGATCCAGGGTGGAGCTGGCAGGGAGGTTCTTTCTTGGGGGTCTGCAGGTTGAGATGAACCTGAGATTGTAAAAAGTCTTTTTCTCCCAGCCCCACAGCCAAAGAAAGAGTGGGAATGGGCAGGCTTCTCAAGGTCGTTTATTTTCTCTTACCTATAAGATGCTTCCTCAAGGAGCTGGGTCTGTCCAGCAGGTCAGCCTGCAGCAGAGTCCCACCTCCTTGGGCTGGTGTTACCATTTTATACCAAAAACTACATGTACTATATTTACAATAACGTGCCAATATCTGTCATCTATGCTGGACAGTGTGTCTGTGCCTTAAACCAACAGAAAAGTGTCACCAGCACAGCGAGGCATGGAGGGCAAGAAGGAGGAGAAGAAGGCCAGGACACGCCAAAATCCTTTCATCTTGTACCCCTTGAACCCCATTCTAAAAACCCCAAAATTCTACTTTTTCACCCTGTGTTAACTCAACTACCACACTGCTCAAACCCTTGTGGTTTGTAATTCCTCATACAGAGTTGGCAGTTTTTCCCATGGGCTAAAATGGAAGCCACAGGTGTTTGTGACTTTGTGCCAAGGGTTTTTGACTTTGTGCCCCCTCAGGGTGTGGAGGCAGCCAGGGCAGGCAGAGGGATGTGCTGGGTTCCCAAGTTCCTGGCTGGTGCTCTGGGGTCTGGGATGGCTCCGTGGAGGCAGAGCTGGAAGTGGGAGCAATGTGGCTATAGGACACGTGA